CTTCATATGATTCTTGACATACCCGAACGATGCTGTATTAGCGACCCTTGACAGAGCAACATCCAACACCACCAAAGTATGACTGCCCTCATATAAGGTACTATGATGACCTCAAGTCAAAGGACCAATTCCACTACCAAACGTTAGAGATTAACCACTAACACTTAGATAGTTATCCATGTGGAATCTCTCAGCGGGTCTCAAATATTTTGTTCTATAACAAAACATCCACGTGTTCATTCAAGTGTCACCACACTTTAGCTTGTGAGATCAGCTACTTAGTTTACAAGTAAGAATACCACACGCGATAGTCTATCCGTAATAACGATATCCGTATCTCGTTATTACCTCGACCACGGACGATTTAAGATTCACTCATATGTAATTTGTATCTCACAATCACAACTCCTTGTGATTAACAAATCACCAAGACTTGAATCTACGGATTCTATCATTTAATTTATTAGAATATTAATTCAATTAAATAATAGATATTGCCATATATATGCATTGATTAATACCAAGACTTGAATCTACGGATTCTATTATTTAATTTATTAGAATATCAATTCAATTAAATAATAGATATTACCATATATGCATCAATTATATATATTTAAAGTGTTTATGTCCAAAGTTGATTGGATCTAGGGCATAACACTTACAGTAATTCAGGATACCAGCCCCTTGGCTTGAAATGTAAATTTTCTTGCTTCACCATTCTGTATGCTTCTTATGTTCCTATAATCACTCGAGAGTGTTTCTCTCATCAAATATCTGAAATCCTTTTCTGTTTTCACCAGGGGCCTCTTCTGCAAGTTAAAGTCACTTGGCTTTGACGTCTTTCTTGAAATGAACTGTTGAAGGAATGTCTAATTTGAAGAGATGGAGACATGGAATTTCAGTAGCCAAATTACAGCTACGTGAAAGCATGCTTCTGCAACTTCAATGCTGGTTCTTCCTGTTGTTTATCTGATGCAAAATACCGCTCTGTTTCTTATGTGCTTTCTGAAGATGATTGTTGAATCTAGTACTCAATTTGGTGCCATGACCTTAGGCCAAGATACCACTGAATGATAGTCCAAGTGTCTTCTTAATTCTAGTTTCGTTTCTTGATTTTTCATCAATGGCCCATGTTAGTTTCGGTCTGCTTTTCTCTGTATTTGTCTCTACTCGTGTTATGTCCTGATGATCTTTTTGGTTTTTATTTTTTGGCCCTCTTGGGTTTGTGTTGTTCTGTGGGAGGTCTTGTTCAGGCCCCTCCCTAAACTTTACTTTTTGTTGATCGCAGGTCAGGTATAGACGCTAAGCAACACCACACTTTGCCTTATAGATGCATCGGTTTAGCTTTCCTTCCCTTCACAGTCATAGCTCAATAGACGAAGCACAAAAAAAAAATATATATGGTTTATAATGGCTCATTGAGTCCTCAAGTTTCAAGAGCACAACTTAACGGCCTTTTTTGTTTTCACTTTGCTGCTTCTGTGAATGGAGCTTTAAACCAGTGCTTTGCTTTTCTGATATTAAACTTGTCTAGTAAAGATTGAGATAACTTATCAATGAATACATACAAAAGAGGACTTAAACTTAAATCATTCATATACAAATTCATCGAAGAGTTAACTTCACCACTAATTCACTAAATTGATGACATGTTAATAATTAATTCATTGGACAGCAAATCTCAACTCTTTTGATGACGTTGATGATCATCCATATTTTTAAATAAGCATGTCAATAATTGTGTATAATTTGATCGTGTGTTGCATGACATGATTACATTTAGGTGAATATGTTGACAACCTACCAAACCACCCAATTTTCAATTTTAGAATAATTATATCTCAATTATATATTATTAATACCTAGTTGGTTTAAAACATTTTCAATTGTAGACTAATTATATCTAAATTATATATAATATTAATACCTAGCTGGTTAAAAAAGTTACATTTAAAAAAATAAAAATAAAAAAAAATTCTCAATTTATTTATTTATTAAGATAATTAAAGAATCTACAGGATATACATCCAAAGAACTTTGGTAAGATTTGATGCAATCTGTTCAACAAATCTTAACAATTCCAACGCCAGATGCCCATTATAAATGGAAAAATTATTAGTCCATAAAAAGTAAAACACTAGTGGAACCTGACGCCATCATTTCAAAGATTCTGTTTGCTCCAACCAAAATTCCAGTGTTAATGGGAGAGGAACAGCCACTGCCACTGCCACTGCCCCCGCAGCCGGTGGAGGGTCACCTAACCCCAAAACCTCCTCCTGGAGCGGGGTCTCTGGAGAAAGTGAAAAGCATGGATGTCGATCCAATCCCATCTCCATTATCAGCTCCCAAACCTTCTTGGTTCACTCCCGTGAGGTTATCTTTTTTAGTACTTTTGCAATGTATAAATGTATTTCTGTATACATGTGGTTATATTATTGGGTTCTTGATTATTTGAAGAAATTTAGAGCAAGGAATGGAAAAAGTTTGAGTCTTGGGTATTTTTACTACGTGACACACCAGGAATTTGTTGGTTTCTATTTTTAAATAGAGTTTCTGGGTAAATAGGTTTGTGCATTTACTTTTATCTGAGAAAATATGTGTATATACGACTCACCACGTACTCTTAAGGGAATATATGTAAGGCGGTGTTAGGAAAATTTGTTATATGTGTTGTGTGATTGAAGGATGTAACAATGGCTAAGGTTTTTGACTTCTAATAAAATTTGAAATTAGGTGATGGCGAAGGATGACAATGATTAACACATTTGCTTTTTAATGAATCTTAAAATTCGGTTCTTATATAATTCCATTGACGAATTGGAATTGTTATGAGTTGTAGAAGTGGCACATGCTTGTTTAATCTGGAATCTACTGTCTTGCCATTATACATTTCTGTTATTTTGATTCTAACTTGCTTTTTTCTGGCAGGTTGCTTGTTATATTTTGTGTAATTAACTTAATAAATTACTTGGACCGCGGAGCAATAGCTAGCAATGGCGTTAATGGAAGCCGCAAGACTTGCACAAAAAATGGTAAATGCTCACCAGGCACTGGAATTCAGTAAGTTCAATGTCAACATTTGGTCACTATTTCTTTTGCTGTACTTCTGTTAATGGAGCTCTCCTTTCTTTATCTAACCCAAACCCCTGGCAATTTTTTTTTTTTTTTACATATTCTTAATTTTTATCCCAAAGATTTTTATACTGTCCTTTATCTCCATATAGCCCATTTACACATTGCTAAATTACTTAAAATCTCTAAATTGCATAGGATGTAAAAATAAAAAGGGACACTACAATCCATTTCTTTTACCTATATGTTCATTCACACTTTTCACTCCATCCAAACATAGGGTAAGGTTTCAAATCTATGCCATGTAGTGCAGAGAGAAAAATACATTCATCCTCTCAATCTTAAAAGAGCAAGAGAAAACAGAAAGAAAAACAAGAAAACAAATAACACCTCAAGAGTGAGAGAGTTTGTAAATGGTCCTTTTCTAATTGGAAAATGTCTTTTTAGTTGTTTCATCCCTTGAAATATGAGGTTCTGCAATGCTGCAGGATAATGTGTTGATGCTCATATAACAATGCTCATACTACTACTACTCCAAAAACCTGTACATTTAGACTAACTACCAAATGAATAAATCTGTATATACTTTGCATTGTTTCATAAGCCTCTTTCTACACAGGGGTGATTTCGACCTAAATAATTTTAAGGATGGAGTTGTGTCATCTGCTTTCATGGTTGGACTACTTGTGGCTTCCCCAATCTTTGCGTCTCTAACTAAGAGGTGATCATTTTGTGTTGTGATTCTTGCTCACTCCCATTATAGGTTTGATAAAATTTGAACACTCTGTGTGAGAAGATGGTGATGTGTCGGGAAAGTATTAATGCAGAAAATGATATTTGTGTTGTGTGAAGAAAATGTGAAATGGTTATCAAGAAGTAGAATCACTGCTGCATGAATTGGATGGAGTTTTCCTGTCAAAATGATTCAAGAAAAAATTGCGCTATTACATTTTCGTTGGTGTATCTCATCGTTATTCATGGTGTTATTGATGTCAAAACAGTGACATTGCAGTAAAATTGAATGTCAATTAATTATGTCCTGTCAAGCATTCAATGTTGAAGTTCTTTCCTACATCTATGGGAAAGTATTTGAATTCTCCAAAATGTAGCATGAACATATTTTCAGAAACATTGCATATCATGTGAGATTTGGTAACTTTATCTTTTCAATTTTCTTAGAAAATCAAATAGGATGTCAATTCTGAAAGAGCTACTGTGTCTAACAGAATGGGCTTCTACCTGTCTGCAGCTAGCTAATTATAGTTGGTGTCCTTGAATTTTGTAGAGTCAATCCATTTAGGCTTATTGGAATTGGTTTATCAGTCTGGACCATTGCTACTGCTGGTTGTGGTTTTTCAAAAAACTTTTGGTCCATTGCAATTTTTCGCATGTGAGTAAAATTCTCTTAATTACTCGAAGGTTGTTTGCCATATTTGTTTTATTTTTTTCTATTTTGTGATTTTTTTATTTGGCTTGTTTTATTAGGCTAGTGGGTGTTGGCGAGGCTTCTTTTATAAGTCTTGCAGCTCCATTCATCGATGATAATGCCCCACCTGCTAAGGTTTGTTGTTTCATGTGATGATACATCATATAAGATTCACCCTTCTATTCACATGACATTATTTTTTTTAACTTTATGCACTTGTTTCAGCAAGGCTTGTTTGAAACTATATGAATTATACACTTTTCTTTATAGTAAAGCATAATTTCCTCAGGGCATGTGGGTTAGTGAAACTCACAAATGAACATTGACATGTATATTCATCTTAGTATGATAATAAGAGTGGGTTCTCTCGTTATACTTTAGGGATCTGGAATGATGCAAGTATTTCATGGAAATAGCACACATGGAGTAGTGATGAGACAGTTGTTATCTATCACAGTGTACATTATGCTTTGACTTGTGCCAAATGCTAATTTTATCTCTAAACTTGTCGAAATTGAGATTGGAGTAATCACGTGCTTACAATTTTCTTATTTCCTGTTCTGAGGCTCATATATCTTCTATCTCATCTTTCGCACCCGAATTTTACATTTGATGTGATCTTTTTTGTCAGAGAACATTTTGGCTTGGAGCATTTTACATGTGTATACCGACTGGAATTGCAGTTGGTTACGTTTATGGTGGACTGGTATGCATATTCTTAATAGATGTTTTGTGTGCTTAGAAATATTTAATGTTTTGTAGGCAAAAGTTCTTACAATTTTGCTTTCTTGGTTTATGTTTTTATTACCTATTCCATTTGAAAAAAATATCTTACAGCCTTTTACTTCTTACCCCCACCTCACATGTACTTAATATTCTCATTTTTCTTTGCTTGTAGTGTGGGGGTTACAACTGGCGTTTGGCATTTTGGGTGGAGGCTGTTTTGATGCTTCCTTTTGCTATATTAGGCTTTGCAATGAAACCTTTGCAGCTGAAAGGTCTGTGTACAGATATTATCTGCGTTGATCTCATTTTCATTCCCCAGACATTTCTTTAAACACTTTGTTCCTACAGGTTTCTCTCCTGTTGGATCTAAAACAGCATTGACATCTGCAGAAGAGGGGACAGAAAAGCAAGGTGCTGGATCTTACTATTAACATGAACTAACAATACATGGAAAGCACTTTATCACTATTTTCTTTGTGTAATAATTGCAAAAGTCTTATAGATGTATCAATTTCCAGATGCAATTTTGTTATTATCTGTTAGGAAATTTGTTGTTTGAAGAGGACTAGTGATTTCATGTGTTTGAGTGGGATTCATTTGAAGCATTAGACAAAAAGTTAGTTTTCAGCATTTTCTAATGGTCAAAGTGACAGTGATATGTCAACAGTTAAATATAATCTCTCTGACAAAAAGTAAATAACAAATGTTTGGCTTACTATATGCCTTATTTGTACTGTCGTACTTTTGTCCATGTCTTTAGTTCTATCTTAATGTTCATTATGTATGTGGCACCATGTTTTAGCAGGGGCAGTCTTTTGGTTATCTCTCTGCTTCTTATTTTTCCATTGTTCTTATAGTTCTATTATTTTAAAAAAATACATCTCGTGCATTTCATATTATTCATTAACACAATTATTTTGAATGGTAAAGGTGAACTGTCCTCAAGAGAAGAGGTTGCTGATCAAATTTCGAAAAATATTGGGTGAGAGCTCATTTTACAGTGTTTGAGATTCTAGCGATATCAGCTAGGTTCTTCTTGGCTATAAACATATCTTGTCTATATAATATGATTTCCTTCTTTAAGTGTATGGCTGATAACTCACAAGTTCTTTTCCAGAGTTAAATGAATTTTCTTAATAGCAAATCTCATCTCTTTTTCAGTTCAACGGATGATGAATGTATTGTCATAAGATTCTTTAAGGATATGAAGATTCTTTTGCTTGATCAAGTTTATGTTGTGAATGTTTTAGGTATGTTCTTCACTCTGCCAGAACTACAAACTCATATGTTAGTTCGTCCTATGAATATTATCAGGAGTGCTGATGTACCATCTCCTCTGCTTTTTGGCCTTTTGAGCATGTTTGGCTAACCCTACAAGAAGTAAAAGTTGCTTTTAACTTTCCCCAACATAATTTGAAAATACTATTATTTACTAGTTAACTTACTTTTCTAGAAATTACATCTTAAGTTACTTTCTAGAAAAGTAACTTTTAATCTTAAATAACATGCTTATTGCTGAACAGCTAGCTGAAAGTGCCAAGATAATGGTTACTGACTTGCTGGAAAAACTGCTCCTGCATGTAGTGGATGTAACTACTAAAATAAGCATGTTAATTTGCTATTATTCAAACAACTTGACATTTTTCTTTATATGAATGGCCAATGCAGGTTATATTGCCTATAATTTCGTCGTAGGTGCATATTCCTATTGGGGACCCAAGGCTGGTTATAATATATATCACATGGTAAGCTCTTAATGGCCTTTGAAAAATTTATCAACACAACATTCTCCATTTTCTAGTCCGTTGAAATTGGACATTTATGTAGTCTAATCATTTGAAAATTGTTGTTTTCCAGAAAAATGCTGATTATACGTTTGGAGGGATTACAGTGGTTTGTGGAATATTGGGATCACTAGCAGGGGGTTTTGCTCTTGATTATATGACATCCACAATTTCCAACGCTTTTAAGGTGTGCCACACAATTTACTTTCTCATAACAATTGATTGAGGAGCAAGTTTCATTTTTGCAAACTTCATTATTTTCTTCAGTTATAAAGTTTGCATAAAGCAAATGCATAAGTGGATTAACAGTGATACACTGATACCAGAGAATTTCTTCTAGAATGTATTGCCTTTCTCCTTCCACCATTTCCTTCTAATTGAAAAAAGAAACAAAAGTTTAATGGCTTACAAACTGCAATAAACACAACACCAGCTCAAATATTCAACCAGTTGATCCAGTAATCCTATGTTCCACAATTCCACTCTATATGAGCCACATATACAACACGAACGTTCCCAATAATTATCCTCCTCTTTCCCCCCTCCTCTCTCACCCAAAAGAAAAAAATGAAAAGAAAGAAACTAAAAGTGATCACCTTTTAAGAATCCACTGCTGTATTATTGCCATTATTTACTCACAGATAGAGGTACCTCATGCCTGGCCCATCTGGAGAGGTGAGCCTTTCCGGTCCTTTCTCTCTAGACCTGCGGCCCATGAGAGCTGGCTCACACTGACATTTTTAATCCTTTTTCCCCTCGGAAAATTAACTACATAACAAGAAAACTTAAAAAAAACTGATTGGTGGATGCTAGCCCTACCTTGTACAACACAGACCTGCCTCTTGTTTTTGGATGGCCTGTCTCCTTTTACACCTCTACTCAGCCCGTTTGACTACCCATCATAATAGAATTGGGTAATCACCGTTGGTTTGATTTCAGATCAATGGTAAGGGTTTGACCGGTTTCAAATTCTTTTTCGAAGTTGGCAGGGGGAAGGGTGGATTGATCCCCTGACGTCTGCTTAAGAAGCTGGCAGCATTGCCAGCTGATACAAATGCACTATTGCAACAATATGTGCATTTATATGTGTGCATACATCAGGTTTCAGCCATGTCGCTGAACTCTCCAGCAGCTCCAAAGTGCTATCTCGAGACAGAGGCCACAAACCACATGACTGCCGCTGCCGAGGCCTGAACCTTCTCCTCGTCTTATACAGGNAAATTAAATAATCAAATAAAAAATTTATGAAACACAAGTTACTAGTTTTTCAATTATCAAAAAGCTATTTTATAAACTTTTGTTTGCTAGGATAAATCTAATAGTTTTACATAGTAAAGGGAACAACGTAATTTTATTAGAAATTCTATATTATACAAAATTATAGTTGTAAAGGTAAACATTATACTAACAAATATAGTTTTATTAAAAATATCTGGACTTGCTTCCCATTCATGGCAGGATTTAAGATGTGTTGTTCTTAATTTTCTGGTTTCTGTATATTTTTTCTATTGCCTAAATTTATGGTCATTACAAGCATGGTGCATAATGCTCAATAATTCCAAGCGTGCCTAGGTTCTTTCACTTCATACCATGCTAGTATGTAATGTGGGATTCATTAACAAAGTGTTCATTTCTATCTCTGATGCAGCTTCTACCGATCACAACACTATTTGGAGCAATATTTTGCCTTGCCGCATTTTGCTCTAAGAGCTTAATTGCTTACGTGATCATTTTTTCAATAGGAGAACTGCTAATATTTGCCACCCAGGTAAATTTCTTGTGAGCGAATCCTTGTTGACTTTTATGGGCTTGTACAGCTGCAGATGGTGTGCGAATCCTTGTTGACTTTTATGGGCTTGTACAGCTGCAGATGGTGTCTATCATTCTACGCTTTGCTTTATTTCATGCCTTCGTCACATTTTCTATTCTTGTTTATCAATTTGAAGTTTGTCTCTGATCTTATAATCTGTTGTCTTTGAGACTATACTTCGATATGAAGCATAAGCAGTTGCTGATTTGGTGCCCTCATATGATTGTGGCTGCCAATTCCCATTTCTTTTAATTCTGACAGTTTTTTATTATTCATCAGTTTCTACATGTGACTTCTAAAAGAGTTTGCTCAGAACATCTTTGAGGTGTCGTGTAATTTTGCTAGACAAATTAAATTACATAGATTTATTAGAAAATAATTGGTTAGTGTTGCACAGGAGTGGAGTTTGAGCTCTAAGTAGATGTAGCAATTAACTGAATGGAGTGACGAAAAAGGGTTCATTTAGTCAACCACGAATTTAGGAGGAACAAGGCTTCAATTGTTCTTGTTGCATAAATAGGCTAAATTTAAGCTACTGTTGTTTTTCTTTCTTCCTTCCATTGAATTTTCAGTCAAGGATTTGTAGGTTGAGTATTAACATTTCGTTTATGCCACTGCAGGCCCCTGTAAATTTTGTTTGTCTACATTGTGTCACGCCTAGTTTGAGACCATTATCGATGGCTATGTCTACTGTTTGCATTCACATTTTCGGTGACGTGCCTTCCTCTCCTCTTGTCGGGCTTCTTCAGGTTTGCTAAGTTTGTTTAATTGATCATTATTTGCTTTTATTAAAGGCAGTGAAATAAGGCAGGCATATTTCACATGAGCGCACGCACATAAAGAAAAGAATAATGCTATTTATAGTCAGTGAATGCAGTAGTCATCTTATGTGACAGCTTGTTATTTGAGGCATTAATTTCCTATAATTCTGTTACCTCAAATAACAACTTGTCACATAAGAATAACCACTGCAACTGCGACTATGAATAGCATTATTCTAAAGAGAAGTGGCAGTGGTGGACCGAAGTTGTAATAGTTGTCAAGCATCTTGTTGCTTTAAATCTACTGGTAGATCTAGTGTTGCACTAAAAAGAGTGGCGAAAAGACTTATGTAGTGGAGCCCAAGTTTTTAAGCAACAAGGGATCCGCTACATAGATCATTTTTTCGCGAGGGTGTTCTTATCAACTTGGAGATCTAAAATTACTTGTATGATGTTTGATGATATTCTCCTGATCACAATTAGTTTCTGTAGGATCATCTTAACAATTGGAGGAAAACTGCTCTTATTCTAACATCCATTCTGTTCGTGGCTGCTGCAATATGGTTTATAGGTAATCTTTTAGTTACCGTGCTTTCAAGGTTTTCATGGATATTTCCAAAATAAATTTCTATTCCAAAAATTCTAACATAATTTTGATAATAAGAAGTTATGAGCCCCCTTTTACGAGCATTTCTCTTTTAGTTATCTTTCATGAGAATATATTGATAACTGAGAACAATTAATGGGATTCTAAGATATTCGAACCTTCATGTATTTTTGGCAGGAATTTTTCTTCGGAGTGTAGATAGGTTTGATGAAGAGAGTGAGAATCCAGTTACTACAATCGACAAGTCAAACACGACTACCTCTCTGGAAGTGAAGAAGACTGAAACAGCATAATTTTTTCTTGTACCATAAATTCTTTCAAGACCATAGCCAGTTTTAACACGCTTATTTTATGTAAGTTCTTTCTTCTAATGCCCTCCATGAGTGTAAATAGTGTTATCTTCTGCATTTGAAATCATTCACATTGCTTGACTACTTTCCTGGGAAAATAATGTAAAAATTCCTGTGTCCGCTATTTTAATGCAATTTTTTCTATTGGAATAACATACATTTTCCCTTCCCTGCAATTTTTTCTATTGGAATAACATACATTTTCCCTTCCCTTCTCCGAGCAATAACGAATCAGAAACAGCGTGAATAAGATTTTGCTTGAATTGCCATAAATCCCTTGTTACAAGTACATGTAAAATACAGAAAAGAAAAGGGTTGGAATAATAGAAATCTCTTCATTCAAAATCCAGATGGTGATAAGTACACATGAATATACCCAAGTAGTTGTGCGGAAAATGCTATCTCAAATACAAATATCTTGTCAATCTAGACCAATGATTATCAAGATTTTTCCAAGATGACCTATTGTGTCTCATTTACAGACTGAGGTTGGCAGCTCAAACTCTATGAATCCCATTTACACAAGGGAAAGTTCACCAGCATGTATAGATCTTTTCACAAGTTTAGCCCAGGACTCGTTGGTTTCAGTGATTACCTTGAGGGCATAATCCTGTAATAGTAAAATAAGACTAAGATATGAATGACTAGAGCTGTGTTTCTATGGTAAACTGAATGATTTTTCAAGAACCCTGTGTGAAATGATAATGACAAATGATATGCATCACATGGTGCTACTATCTTAGTTGCAAAACTTTCTCCCTGCACTTCATATTCACCCAAAGTACACTAAATTTGTAACATGTTGAAGTAATGACCACTTGATTGTACTCTATAATTTTTACCCTCTTACCTAGGAGATGTTTCATAAGTTTTGCCACCAAAACATAGCTAACTGCAAGTTACTAATTGTGATTATGCAACCTAACGATTTATATCCTAGAGTGCGGAAGAGGATAGAAAATGAGAATCATGGGCTCAATAAGCCAATTAGAGATTTTTCACAATATCAACCAAAAGTAAACAGAAATGTTGGGTAACAGTTCTTGAGTTACCTTGTTAGCTGGCTCATTGCCAAGACCAAACTTGTTTGCAGGTTTCCCATCAGGAATTTTGTAGTCTCTAAACCAGTCCCTAATTGCAGTAAGAGTCCCCTGAAAAAATTAGTGTGGTTAGTCTGGAATAGTTGTTGCAAGACATGAGAAGAATGGAGGCCTTAAATTTACGAGACATAAAAGGTATGTTTAGTAAGTTGGACTCGAGACAAGATTAAGAAAGTAGCCTAACATAGAAAACATGCCGATGTATTTGGTTATTGCCTTATCTTCACATGAATTAGCAGAGTTCAACATATGAAAGTTTAGTATGCAGTTCGATACTTGGACAACTCCTTAGCAAATCTTCATTCATGTACTCCGTGAGGATAGATACACTAAACCTCCTTTGAAGTCTCAAGTGAATTATTATTAAACAAAAAATAAATTTTATTGCAACATTTAATTTCTTGGTCATGTCGTCACTCCATCTTTGAGATAATGACATACTGAGCCAACAGAAGAAATACTTACTACCCTCAAAGAAAACCAAACTGGTGGGCTATGCAGATTCAACATTTGAGCAAAACGAACAAGCTCAACGTGAGAAAGGATTACGACACAACATACAAATAAGTAGTGGACAATAATAGTGTATGCATATCTCCAATAGGAAAGACATACCGGGAAATGCTTCTCAACACCACTTATGTCATTAACTAGGGAAGCTTTTGGATCATCCATTGAAATTGCAACTATTTTCCAATCAAGTTCTCCCTCATCAATCATTGCCAAAGCAGCCAAGGGCTTGACTTTCAAAATTTGCCCAATTTTGGCTCGGCTTTCCCCAATCTCAACTACGTCAACTACAAACAAAAGAGTCACAGACAAATTAACTGGTTTGCTTGCTTTACCTCAATTTTTCCATTTCAACAGGAGACAGCTAAAAGAAGATTACTAAATAAATAAGGCTAGCCAAGAAGTAGAGAGTGACACTTGCCAGGATCATTGTCTCCAAATGCCCCCTCAACTTCAGGGTTCGCCAATGAAGGGTCTTCCCATGTTTGCGGGAGCAATCCATAATTCCAATTAATGTTGTATCTGGACAGTACGACAAAATGGCTCAGAAAAAGAAAAATAGACATCGGGCAATAAGAAATAAAGTAGTTTATAGGCCAATACAATGGTATAAGTGTCAAGAGAAAGGTCAATTCATAGCTCAAATATAAAAGAGTGAACAGCGGCCTTTTAAGGGTCAATGAGGATTCTCAACCAAAAGAATCAATTAACTTGCTCTTGCTTTTCCATTGATAAAGTGCATCCAAGAGAAGCACCGTAGACTGTTATCATAACTCTGCTTATATGCATATTTACATTTTATAAATGCCAGATGAATCACTTACCTTCCTTTTCCTTTTAATGTGAACGATGAATCAGGTATCTACACAATGCTTCCATGGAAACAGATCCACTGGTCGTGTTGAATCTAGTGAGCCTAATTACAAATTCTGTTTCAGGATTTATATGTTAATTCGCACGAAGACCTTCAAAAAGGGCTCTACCATTACAAAGTAAAAACTGAGACCTGTTTTTTTCCTTTTTCCCCTTTGCTTGGGATGGGGGGAATTATGAATTGAGGCAAGTAGCTGAGTGCTCCATGGTGAACATTAATTACATATTAGGACTAATAATAGTAGCCAATGCCAATATTAATGTGGTAAATGAGGGGATCTGAAAATTACGCAAGTTTACAGCAGTTTTTAAGCAGGAAGCCGTATGGTCTTCGTTTTCTTTATCCATCCAAGAAATTGTTAAGGACCCAACCATTGATCCCAAAAGCCCAGGCTTAATGGGGATTGGAATCCCGCCCTTTTAGACCCTAACATTACCCCACGGCCCAAGATCCGACGTCCACGGCGGCCCACTACAAGACAACCTTCGCTTTACCAGCCGGCCCAGATCCGAACTGCTGGCATTCGGCACTTTGATTGTNCTTGTGTTGACCCTTCCGGGATTCGAACCCTTGACATGGGGGTGCTCTGATACCAATTGTTAAGGACTCAACCATTGATCCCAAAAGCCCAGGCTTAATGTGGATTGGAATCCCGCCCTTTTAGACCGTAACAGAAACATATACGAGCTCAAATCCAACTTCTGCAGAATCTAATTGCAAAAACTACAATCATACAAAAGTACCACAGTAATATGCTATCTTCATCTTGTTTAGCAATATCTCTTCAGGCAAAAAGACAAAAAAGCTGCCAAGATATGCCCTTTTTTTTTTTAATATTTATTTCTTGTTTCTCAGAATGCTTAATTAACTTGACAGAGAAAGATCCCCCAGAAGGGGTCAAATCAAACAGGTGACAAATAAAATAGCTGAAAGTAACTAACTTGAATACATGGATGACAAATAAATATACTAGGGACAAAAGAGGTGATACAGCGTAATCTTACGGGTAATATCGAAGTTTTCCCTTCTTGGTGTCTTGCTTAATGGGAGTAAATGGCTCATCAGTAGCAACCTCCATCTTTGCACTAGATTCTTTGGGAATTTCAACAACGAAATTGAATACACCATCACCTACTTGCAGTGGTACATCGTGCCAAGGGGAAATCTGCATAACAGATAAACACAGGGCCCGTTTGGTACAGATTTTCATTTTCTACAGTAAATCAATTCTCATTTTTAACCACACATTTTTCAATAAAATAATATTTTTTTATCACATCAATACTTTTTTCTTCTTTTTCAACCACACATTTCCCATCATATCACTATTCAAAAATCAATTCTTCCTCCAAAAATCCCTACCAAACACACTCACAGTATGTTATAGCAGATTAACACAGTATGTTAATGTCAGCAATGAAACATTTGTACGCATTTTAGACTTCAATCTTAATCTACAGAATGAAACCATTGCACACTACCCTCACTCTTCTACATTCTTACTTTCAGTACAGCCTGAACAGAATGTGCGTAAGGCCGTAAGCAAATACGTCAATAGAGACAAAAATAAATAAAATGCCATCAAGTTTTTCGATCTACCACTAATTTTATTATTTTATTTTTTTTCTTTTGACAATGTGGTGGTAGCTTAAAAGGTTTTTACTTGAAAGTAAATAAGTAAGTTTTACAATGAAAAGTTATTTTTATTTGTCAAAGTTAGAAATAGAAGTTACTTCTTTAGATGAGAATTACTTCCAAAATAAATAAATTTTGTTTATTTAGGTGTAACTTTACTTTGATTTTCTTAGTCAAACATGCTCATTGCCAATGGCGAAATCAAAGTCCACTCGTTCTCCCCAACAATTCCACATCATTTGCCTAAAACTAGTCCACCCTTGTTGGAATTGTGCCATATTCAGCTGAAGGAACGGATCCCTGATTCTATGGAATGGAATATAATTTGTTAGGCAGCTGTTTTCTCCTATTGGATTAGCTAGCATATTCCTTTTGTACTATGTAACAATATCCATTCCATTACTTGTATATATACCACAGATAATGCAACAGGATGATCATCCTTTAAATCATCAATTTAATCTTTATTCTCTACTTGGTATCAGAGCTATGGCCAATGCCGGTTCAGGAAATCCAGCAATTTCAACCGAACTGAACACCATAGCCTCCACACAAACCAGTGTGCATCAAATCTCTCCATTTGGAATTAACCTTACTCAAACTCCCTCTATGAATCTGGATAAGAATAATTTTCTACTATGGCAAAATATGATAATGCCTATAGTTAGAGGTCACCATCTTGAAGACTATCTGCTGGGGACAAGGCTGTGTCCCCCAGAATTCATAGCTACTCAGACTGCAACAGGTGAAGGAGGTTCTGTAGAGATGTTCCAGAACCCTGAGTATAGAAAATGGATCTCAACTGATCAATTGTTAATGGGGTGGTTGTATTCTTCCATGACTCCTGAAATCGCCATGAGAGTCATGGGCAGCACCAACTCCAGCAAACTATGGAGTGCAATCAAAGAAAGCTATGGCATATTGAATAGATCACGAGTGACTTTCCTCACTGGCGAATTACAGAGGACTAGGAAGGGGCCTATGTCTATGGATCAGTGCCTAGCAAATGTCAAGCAACTAGCTGATAGTTTGCAGATTGCTGGAAAGACAGTTGATCACAATGATCTGGTAACACAAGTCCATGCTGGGCTAGATGAAGAGTATACGCCCATCGTGGTCCAAATCAACAACAGAGATGACATCTCTTAGCATGAACTCTCATCCGTGCTTATGACATTTGAGAGCAGGCTTGAATATCTCAATCAAGTAAGGAATGAAATGGCCTCAATAAACATTAACCAGTCCAGTGTGCAACTAGCTCAAAGGAGTGGACTAAGGGGTGGTCGTTTTAGCAGAACTAGGAGATTATCAAATATCAGAAGCAGAACTAGAAGAGGAAGATCAGGAAGGATAGCTGAAAATCAGGGTCCATGTCAAATATGTGGTCTCAATAATCACTCAGCCAGCTGGTGTTACAATCGATATGATGATTGATTCATGGGAAGTAGGCCAAACAATCAAACTAGAACCTCATCTCCTACAGCCTATATCGCCTCACCAAGTTCAGTTGAAGACTCTACCTAGTTTGCTGACTCAGGGGCCAGCAACTATGTAACTATTGACAAAGGTAATATGGTAATTGCCCAGGAGTATGGAGGTAAGCAAAAATTATTTGTGGGTAATGAAAATTGTTTGAATATTGCTCACATTGGTGCAACTGACATTCCCACAATGAGTGATAAAACTCTTGCACTTAACAAATTGCTTCATGTACTGGCTTTAAAAAAGAACTTGATTAGTGTGTCACAATTAACATTAGACAATAATGTATTCATGGAATTTTATCCTCGTTATTGTGCTGTTAAGGATCTGCAATCGATGAAAACACTGCTGCAAGGGAAACTTAGAAATGGACTATATCAGCTCGAGGTACCTGATTCGAAGCCCAAACTTGCGGTCAAGGAGTCAAGCCACCAAAATAATTCCAATCTTGCAGCCTTTCAATGGTCTCAGGTTGCAGTCAGTCACCACAAAGTGTCAAGTTGTCACAGTTAAACGCTTGGCATAGGAAACTAGGCCATCCATCTAATTTTGTTCTGAGTTAAGAGTTGAAATTGTGTAATAAAGCTGTCAAAGTAAATGAAATCCCAAATTTCTGTGAAGCTTGTCAACTGGGGAAATCTCATGCTTTACCCTTTAACAATTCCACTTCACACGCACTAAATCCTCTAGATTTGATACATAGTGATGTATGGGGACCTGCACCAAAGAAATCAACCTCAGGGTTTAGGTACTATATTTTGTTCGTGGATGACTATAGTAGACACATCTGGATCTACCCTATGAAACAAAAGTTAGAAGCCTTAAATGCCTTCATCCAATTCAAACAAATGGTTGAAACCAAATTTGAGAGGAAGATCAAAACATTTCAATTTGACTGGGGGGATGAGTATAGGAATTTTAGCCAAATAGCCTTAAAGTAAGGCATTGAACTAAGGCACTCATGCCCCTATACGTCTGCACAAAATGGGAGAGCAGAAAGAAAGCATAGGCAAGTGACTGAAATTGGGTTAACATTGCTAGCTCAAGCCCATATGCCACTTCATTACTGGTGGGAAGCTTTTACAGTAGCTACTTACCTAATTAACCGTTTACCTACTCCTATACTCCAACAGTAATCACCATATCAGATCTTATACCAGAAAGTTTTTTATTACAATACACTAAAACATTTTGGATGCACATGTTACCCCTGCCTTAGACCATATTAGGAATACAAATTTGATTTTCATTCCCAACGATGTGTCTTCCTTGGCTATAGCATTTCACACAAGGGTTATAAGTGCCTAACTCATCAGGTAGAATCTATATCTCACGACATGTTGTGTTTAATGAGGAAGAATTTCCTTTTCAGTCTGGTTTTCTTAACAAACATGCACAGCCTCTTACTACCACCATCAGTATGTATCCTCTTCTCTTTAATACTAAGCCAAGTTACATATCCTCCTCACAACCTGCAGCTGATATAGTTCAACTAAGTTCTTCCCCCGCCACAGGTTCCTTCAGCAGGGGCCTAATGCATGAGGCTGGTGTGAGTGAAAGCAATCCTGAGATTGACCCTGTGGTTGATCAAACAGTATCAGATGAAAGTGAACTTGGTAAAACTGATGAAAATAATACAGTAGCAACATATGGTGGTGATGTGAATACTGATAGTTAGGACGTTTTACACATTGCTGGACATCATATGGTCACCAGAAGTAAGGCAGGTATATTCAAACCCAAGGCATACATTACTCAGAATTCAGAAGGGTTGGCTGATCATGAACCACAAAGTGAAAATGATGCTCTGATGAGCACTAATTGGAAAAAGGCAATGCAAGAAGAATATGATGCTTTGATAAAGAATGAAACATGAAAGCTAGTGCCTCCAGAGCCTGGAAGGAATGTAATTGGCAGCAAATGGGTTTTCAAAGTGAAGTGTGATGCTGAAGGAAGAGTAAATAGGTATAAGACAAGGTTGGTGGCCAGAGATTTCTACAAACACCTGGAGTGGATTTCAGAGAGACTTTCAGTCCTGTCATCAAGCCATCAACTCTAAAAGTCATACTTGCAATCGTCGTGTCTAAAGATTGGGATATTAGACAAGTTGATGTTAATAATACCTTTTTGAATGGTGAGTTGGAAGAGGCAATATACATAGAACAACCGCAAGGTTTTGTACACCAGAACACTACACACTTTGTTCGCAAGTTAGAAAAGGCGTTATATGGGCTAAGGCAAGTCCCAAGAGCATGGTATGACAAATTGAGGGATACCCTTTTGCAGTGGAAATTTAAACAATCCAAGGATGATAATTCTCTGTATTTCTCAGTTGATGAAAGACGGATCGTGTTTGTCCTGGTTTATGTGGACGACATCATAATCACAGGAAGTGACAAACAGCAATTGCAGGTGTTTATCAACAGGCTAAATGAGTGCTTTGCCCTCAAAGATATGGGAAGCCTTAGTCAATTTCTAGGAATTGAAGTGCTTAGAGATAGAACCGACTTATACCTCACCCAGAAGAGGTACTTAACTGATCTACTCAAGAAGTTTAACTATGAAAAACTGAAATCTAGCATGACTCCTATGGTGGTGGGAAAACAGATTTCGAAGAATGAAGGAAATTCCTTGAGTGATCCTACAGCCAGTATAGTGGGTGGACTCCAGTATTTGACACACACACAACCTGACATTGCCTTCAGGGACGGACCTGGGGGGCAGGTGCCCCCCCCCCCCAAAAAAAAAAATTTTGAATTTTATTTTTTTTGTAATAATATGAAAGGAAAATGAATCAACATTCGTTTCAAACTAATGTTTTCTCTCGCCTGAGTCGTCTCTTCTCCTTTTATCTCCTCTTCTTCATAGTAAAATGAAAGTTGTATATTGTTAAATGGATACGAGAATGGTTGTGATAATACTGAATGACTGAACAAGAATAGTTCAAACCTTCAAATCTCATTTATCTTTGTTTAAATGATTTATAGTTACTCTCAAAGAGTGGAAAGTGCATTGCCAAATGAAAATAGTGAAAAGTCTATCACCACTCTATAGCTATTTCAAGTTTAATCGCGACAAAGAATTCTAAGATCTGACCCAAGGAAAAAGCTAGAAGGCAAGGCTTCCGTGAGCTATAGTGCTGAAACCAGTACTAAACGAAGTACTTGGATTAGATCAATAAATAGGAATAAAAGAATTCTTAGTTGAATTTAGTTATGTTCTTGTAATGCATGAGATCCACGAGTGGACTCCAGTATTTAACACACACACAACCTGACATTGCCTTCAGGGGCGGACCTGGGGGGTGGCCTGGGGGGCAGATTCCCCCCTCCCCCCCAAAAAAAAGAATTTTGAATTTTTTTTTTTTTAATAATATGAAAGGAAAAGGAATCAACATTCATTTCAAACCAATGTTTTCTCTCGCCTGAGTCGCCTCTTCTCCTTTTCTCTCCTCTTCTTCATGGAAAAATTAAGGTTATATATTGTTAAATGGATACGAGAATGGTTGTGATAATACTGAATGACTAAACAAGAATAGTTCAAACCTTCAAATCTCATTTATCTTTGTTTAAATGATTTATAGTTACTCTCAAAGAGTGGAAATTGTATTGCCAAATGAAAATAGTGAAAAGTCTATCACCACTCTATAGCTATTTCAAGTTTAATCGCGACAAAGAATTCTAAGATCTGACCCAAGGAAAAAGCTAGAAGGCAAGGCTTCCGTGAGCTATAGTGCTGAAACCAGTACTAAACGAAGTACTTGGATTAGATCAATAAATAGGAATAAAAGAATTCTTAGTTGAATTTAGTTATGTTCTTGTAATGCATGAGATCCACGAGTGGACTCCAGTATTTAACACACACACAACCTGACATTGCCTTCAGGGGCGGACCTGGGGGGTGGCCTGGGGGGCAGATTCCCCCCTCCCCCCCAAAAAAAAGAATTTTGAATTTTTTTTTTTTTAATAATATGAAAGGAAAAGGAATCAACATTCATTTCAAACCAATGTTTTCTCTCGCCTGAGTCGCCTCTTCTCCTTTTCTCTCCTCTTCTTCATGGAAAAATTAAGGTTATATATTGTTAAATGGATACGAGAATGGTTGTGATAATACTGAATGACTAAACAAGAATAGTTCAAACCTTCAAATCTCATTTATCTTTGTTTAAATGGTTTATAGTTACTCTCAAAGAGTGGAAATTACATTGCCAAATGAAAATAGTGAAAAGTCTGTCACCACTCTATAGTCATTTCAAGTTCAATCGCGACAAAGAATTCTAAGATCTGACCCAAGGAAAAAGCTAGTAGGCAAGGCTTNAGAATACGTAGAAAACAATTGTAATAAAAAATCTCTTACTTTAATTTTTTCGTCACTTTTTGAAAGTTTGATTGTGCCCCCCAACATAAAAAGTCGGCGTCCGCCCCTGATTGCCTTCTCTATAAACAAATTGAGCTAGTTTCTCCAATCTCCCACAGAAGCTCACTGGAAGGCGCTCAAAAGAGTGTTTCAGTACTTGCAGAGCTCTCGCAACTATGGATTGGCAATTCAGAAAAGTGAAGATCTAAATATAACTGCCTTTGCTGATGCTGATTGGGCTTCATGCCCAGACGACAGGCGCTCCACTACTAGCTATTGTGTTTACCTTGGTAATAGCCTGGTATCATGGTGCTCAAAAAAGCAACATGTTGTTGCAAGGTCAAGCACAGAAGCTGAGTACCGAGCTTGAGCTCACTGTACATCAAAGATTACTTGGATTCTGTCCTTGCTGAAGGAAGTAGGCATATCACAGGAAGCAACTCCCAAAATATGGTGTGACAATCTAAGTGCAGGAGCACTGGCCTCTAATTCGGTATATCATGCAAGGACGAAACACATAGAGTTGGATGTCCATTTCTTAAGAGATAAAGTATTGAAGAAAGAATTAGAGATTCATTACGTTCCTTCCTCTGATCAGACAGCAGATCTTTTAGCAAAACCTCTTGGACACTCCCGATTTATGTTTCTCAGGGACAAACTTTGGAAAGACACTTCATCTTGAAAGGGGGTGTTGGTATTGTCCCATATTCAGCTGAAGGAACGGATCCCTGATTCTATGGAATGGAATATAATTTGTTAGGCAGCTGTCTTTCCCCTATTGGATTAGCTAGCATATTCCTTTTGTACTATGTAACAATATCCATTCCATTACTTGTATATATACCACAGATAATGCAACAGGATGATCATCCTTTCAATCATCAATTTAATCTTTATTCTCTACTAACCTTCATACTTCAAGCCCTTAATTAACACGTTAAGCCCATAAAGATAACATTTCTCAAATAAGAGAAATTGTAAAATAAGAAAAACAATAATTTACATGAAAAAATTATATGACGAAGGTAGAGTGGTAGACAGAATATGAATTGACCTTTCTGCCGGAATTATCGAGAAAGAAGACACGATAATCGAGGGTTTGGGGCTGTCCTTCTTCCTTTATTTGGAATTGGGGATTGTAGATAGCACTGCAAGTGAAGCGCCGTCTTTTCTGCACCAATAATGAGCTGTTTTTGAGGCAAAAGCTTAAGCTTTGAGTTTTCCCTCTCAATGGCGAGTTGGAGAGTAAAGTGGAGGTGATGGGCTTAGCTATAACTCTTGCGGCCGCCATTTTCGCTCGCTCAGAAAGAAGCTGTTCAAGTTGAACGACGGTCCACAGGAGACCCCAAATGGTGAGTGTTGCAGGTTTTTTTCGTTTCTTCTTGTCCAAATGGATTTGTATGTTTAGCTTCCATCCATTTATTATTTTTAAATACGCGCAACTTGCAATTTTTATTAACTTTTCAAACACGTATTTCATTGACTTTTATCAAAATTCACTAAAATTATGATTTTCATCAAAATTAAGCCCCCGTTTGAGCCAATTTTTTCTCATTCCATTACATTAATTTTTTCTTTCTCTTCATCTCAACCACACATTCTCAAATAAAATAATATTACACACAAATCTAAAACTTTTCCACTACACATTTTCCCATCAATCAATATTCTACAAATTTTCAACCCCAAAAAATGGGGGCCAAACAGGGGCTAAATGAGGACGTAAATTTTTTCTCTTGTACAAAAAGCAATGTTTTAAAAGTCGAATAGGAACGTTAAACGGATCGAGTTGCTCTACTTGTTCTTGTTGGACTCAAATCGACCCATCGTGTTAGTCAACTTGCATTAACATTTGGAGCAAATCGAGCACGAGTTGGATCGTTTTCAAAAATTGCTGTTCAACTTATCCCACCAACTTGTTCCTTGATGGAGCGATCTAAGCAGCTTTTGATACGTCAATTTTTTTACTGAAAAATATATTTTCACTCACCATTTACGAGCAGGCTCAAGAACAGTTCCAGCCAACTCGTATGAGGCTTTTATTTCTCAATTCATTTGTGGGATAACAGCTCGTCCCACTTAATATCCTTAAAAGTCTTGTTAAATAATCACATATATGGATGTTAAGCACTCGTATTCTTACCATAAACAAAATCTATTTATATGTTTATTACAATCCCATTAAGTTATGGAATTTGTGAATCAAGGAAATTTAATATTTAGCAATCGTCATTATTTTTGTTTTTATAAAATGAAAAATAACTTGTTTTTAAAAATGTTATTGTACCTATTTGGTGGGGATTAAAATTAGACTTTTAGTAGATTTTTATGAAAGTTGATGAAATGTGCGGTTGCAAAATTGTGGATCTTATGAAATACGAGGTTAAAATTTATTGTTAATTTCGAGTTTCGACTTAAATTAAAATTTTAGTTTTAGTTCCGACCAAACAAGAGCATAGCATATAATATTATTACAATTTTCTTTTCGCCAACAAATGAATAAACAAAGTGGAAATTACACCTAATGAGATTTTTTAAGTTTTAATTCCAAAATTCAGTTGTAAAGTTCTTTAATACAAAAATCAGATAATAACATAATTTTTAAATATTAATAATATTATTATGAAATAAAATAAATCTACAAACACCCCTATCCACCAAAACAAACCACCCCAATTAAAATTAGTGGAAATTACACCTACCCCTACATTTGGAGATTCAAATTCTAAAATCAGATTTTGTGCTTAAAATTTCAAAAATCAGATATTTAAATATATAAATATAGATTTTTAATATTTAATTAAATAATAATAATAACATTATAAAAATTAATTTATATACAC